GCGGGAGCGAAGTGCTCTAATAGGGTGATATGGTACTACAAGGTCATTAAGATAAGATGGGGCCTGATTATTTAAGACCTTGTATGTGAGGAGCTTAGAATGTCCATATTTATTTTATCCAGATGTCTGTTTCCAGTGTGCTGACGCTTACGTTCTTTTTTCTTGTTTTTGTTTTTCAACGTTCGCTGCTTTGGTTTCCAAAGCAAACCTCAGGCTGGCAGATGCTGTTGCTCCCCTGGTTTCCTGTAAGCCTGTTGGCCATGAGCATGATGTGTGACACAATAATAAAACAAGACGCTCACCTGTGAAGCCCAAATGCACGTCGCTGAGCTCTATGTGATCTGTGAAAGTCTGCACCTTCCTAAAAATGCCTTCACAGCACTACAACTCTACATTGATCCTAGTAGTAGCAGTAGTGCAGAGCTTTGTGATAGCAAAGCCTGCCACCTTGTGGATTATATTTTAATAGGATACAGCTGGCTGGTATGAAAGGAATTATTATTTTAGTATTTTAATGGTTTGTGTAACGCTTGTTCAGTTTTATGTTTTACCATAATTACCAGGTCAGGTGACCGATCTGTTTCTGGAGCTGGCACCAAAGTAACCACACCAGTTGTGTGTTCAGGAACGTAGACCTTTACACTGACGGCCTTGAAATGTCCACTTTTACATTTAGCATCAGTTGCAGGCGTAGAATGGGTGTAAAGAGCGATATAGCATCTGTTTCTGAGAAGTGCAGATGATTACGATGCACCTTATTCCTCCAGTTATTTCCAGCAGGAGTTTCACTGGTGACCTGAGGTTTACGTGACCTTTCGCTGTCTTGCTCTATGACCTCAGTAAAGACGTGTGACTTATACATCACAGGTTGTTAGCTAGTGAGCGTGCAGCGCCCCTCAGATCCACAGTTCGTGTTCCCGGGATGGTGACTCGCTGATAACGTTTGGTTTTAAAAAGTCCTCCCTGTGTGGAGTGGGTTCACCTGTGGGTGACATCGCAGTGACTCGTCCAATCCAGGGGGAGTTTCTGGCTTCAGGTTGCATTAGTCATTATTGTTAGTCCGTGGAGGAAACCTGGGGTCTGATGTGGAGGCTGATGACATCCAGCAGCTTGTTCCAGGATACTGAAGCCCAAATACAACTTTGTTTGAGTGTGAGCGTGATTATTAGAAAGTGCTGAAGTCACAGACTAAAGTGCTGTGTGTAGGTGTGCGTTGTTGAATGTGACTTGGAGTAAAAACACTCAGAGCAACAACACAAATATGTTTTAGGTGAGCAAGTGGAATACCAGCCTTTATTATTGGTCCATATCAGCCCATTAACCCTTTCATGTTGATTAGAGGAAACACACATCAGTCGACAACACCTGCCACCTTCTTTTATCTTTCGGCCGCTCTCTTCATGGGTGGATCGTTACCTCCATCTCATCCTGTCCCGAGCATCCACGCCCTCCTCTGAGCTCCTCCCCTGATCAGCCCTGTATACTGATAATACCTGCATGTGTCTAAAACGAGGCGTGCTTCCAAAGGTAAAAACACATTTGTTAACCATGAAGTGAAGGATGGTCAGAGCTGAGGACGACTGACGTGACACCTTTAAACTTGACTAAATATGTTCAGTAGTTTTGGTAAACAGGCTTCACAAACATGTTCCAATCATGTATATGAAACATGCTCTGTAAACATTTACAGTCAGTGTGATTCATGACATGTTTTAACATTATTGCTGTTAGATCAGACGAACTGGCTGTTTGTCCGTCTCAGTATCTTCATATTCATATCATGGATGGTGTGGTGTGGTGTGGTGTTCTTCCTGTTAAAAGGGAGTTTTTCCTTCCCACTGTCGCCAAAGTGCTGCTCATAGGGGGTCATATGATTGTTGGGTTTTTCTCTGTATCTATGAAGCGCCTTGAGGCGACTTTTGTTGTGATTTGGCGCTATATAAATAAAACTGAATTGAACTGAATTGAATTGAATGGTCCGTGAGGCTGGATTCCAGCTTGTGCATCCAGAAAGAAAAATGAATAGTTGAATAGTTGCACAAACTAACAGACTAGTTTCTCAGCTGCTGCATAAAACAGCATGTTCAGTATCACGATGCATTTATAGTTCCTGTATCGAGTATTAGTGATTAAAAGTAATGAATTGTGTTACCCACACATGCGCTGAGAACTGAAAGCTACAGCATTTGTTGACTTTTATTTTCATCCATGTCCTGGTTGAACTGGATTGTTCGTCATACTAATCAAAGCTGAAATAAAGCTGCTTTTTCCATCTGTGTTGTCTGAGGAAGAAGCCTGTGTTAAAAAAGCAACCGGCCAATCAGACGCGAGTGTCTAAGGCGCATAATAACCTCGTCCCCATTATTGGTTGGCCACATGTTTCCTCACATAGTTTTTGCCGTGAGCAGAATAACAGTGGTGTTTTTGTTTGTGTGTAGAACACGGCCAGTCCATGGCTCCATAAGACTGCTGCTGCTGACAGTTTGGGAATGCTGAGCCACGTTCCTGTCCGGCCAGCCAGCGCCGATGCCCACCGCCCCCCTGTCAAGATGGCCCACACGAGCCCTCCGCTGTCAAAGACCAGCATGGATCTTCATAAAGAGTAAGCAGAAAGATCAGTGCTGTAGTAAAAGCTGCACCGTCACCGCGTTAATACTGATGAAACCTGGAGTCATTATTTCTCTGAATGTCAGGGAAAACTGAAAATATGAAAACAAACAGCTGCTGACGTTTGATGGGTTACACCCTGCAATACCAGATGAATGAATGGCGTCCGTGACACAGAGCGACAGTCCCACAGTAGCTGGGTTGTGTTTCCCACCCCTGTGTTTGTGTCCTGTGGAGGGAAAAGCTCAAAACGTTAGAGGAGGTGATGGCGCAGTAAAGCAGGCCACAGGCTCCAGCTCAACAGATCAGAGGACAGATGATGGATGGTTTGATTAAGTGTTGACTTAAAAACACTTAATTAACATAAAGATCGTAGCTTGGCCACGTTGCCAAGAGTGGAGAAAATCCACGGTGAGGAAAAGAACTACTTCCTGTCAAACCAGACAGTCTCGCAGGTCATGGTACTCTAAGGAGTCTTCATTCTCCTTACAATACAAATGTTTCTTACTGAACCTCACACATGAAATGAAACATGTGACTGAGGGGAAGCAGGAGATTCTTTGGTGGCTTCAATATGCATTAAAATGTTAACTACTGTGGGTAATAAAGAAGCACAAAATATTTGAGCCGCTGAATATTTGCTTTGGACATTTGAACTCCTCTTTACTTCAAAAGCTCCGTGTTCAGAGAGCGCTCACAGAGCAGACCTGAGGTGAGCTGCAGGGAATACCTGCTCAGTCAGATGAAGTGGCACTAACGCCGTACTGAAGCTGTCATGTGTCCAGCACACAAGCTGGACCCAGAAGCAGAGACACACGCCAGGGTGCACCAAAAAACGTTATTTTAACTAAGGGTGTCCCGGAAGGGTCAAAGGAAAACACGCCAGGTAACTAGAAAACCAAGGGACCGGGAAATAACTCAGGAACGCCGTAATCGGGACTGTGGGAGGCTGCAACAGGAAGAGGGTTACTGGGGAACGGAGAAATAACAGCATACGTGGGGAGAGAATTAATCTTACGGTCCAGACGGGGCCGTGGGAACCGGAGGGAGGGGTGAGGGTCCGCGGGGAAACTCCAGGTGAATAGAGGAGACGAGTGCCAGGCGGGCAGGAAGACAGGCAGGAGAGGGCTCCAAACACGCCGAGCTGTTACCTAAGCGCACAAGGAAAGGGTTAGCGTTTGTTCCAGCAAAAGAGAATTTTGCAACCGCCTTCACGTGGAAGCACGTTACCGCTGAGAGGCGACTGACGGACTGGCGTAGAGCAGCTGGCAGAGCTGGGTTAAACGGTCCACCTGATCGCCTGGGATGGGATGCAGGTCGACAGCCACACACGTGGGCGCGGGCATCCCGTCAGCTCCTCGGACACCGGCCGCGGACCATGACAGAAACAGTCTACCCAGAATGCCATTCATTCAGCAGCTTGTAGCCGCCTTACACAACCAACATCACCCAACACAAAGCATGGCTGAGGTTAAACCATCCATCAGTTGTTTCTCTCATGAATCTACTTATGCAGCCCATCGTTGCCCAGTCTCTTTCTTCTGGTGGAGTCATGAACACTGACCTGCACACACACACATGCAGTCAGATCTTTCCTGTAGGAGCAGTTGTTGAAAAAGATGGTAAAAGCTTGTTTCATAAAGCTGAATATCTGTGCTGTCTGTGTGCAGAGATGTGGATAAGAAAGGCTACGTGGATCCCATGAGGACAATGACACTGGCACAGCTGAAACAGGAGCAGACGGACAGAAGTCGCACTCCGACAGGAAAAGACGTCCATCTGCAACGCCTTTACCTGGATCCCCACAGCAAGGCCCGCCTGACAAGTCCACAGGTACGTGGCTGCTCGCACACTCGCTTAATAAATACTCAGGCGGGTTGAGAGTAGCAGACACATTCAGTCATCAGAGCAGTACATTTGTCTGTCATGTGTAAATATTAAGGCTCAGCGCTCTACTCTGTTGTTTATCACTTTGTTAAGAAGCAAAGCTGATGCTGCACAGTTTCAGCTAAGCTTACACGGGGATCAGTTTGCATGTCAAATGCCTTTTCAGACATTTCTTTTCCATTTTCCATTTATTTTCTCTGCTTTAGTGACAAATGTAGGAGAAAGTGTGAGAGCGTTTCTTGCAGCTTCTGTTTTCTCCTCAGGAGGCGCTCCAGGCGGCAGACCGAGCCTGCAAGTACAAAGAGGAAAACCGTCAAATCCTGAAGGAGAGCATTGAGGTCGCTCCCTTCACGGCTAAAATCCAGCGCTCCATCGACCCTGCGATGGACAGAGAGAGAAGCAGAGATTCGAGCTTTTGTGTTCGGATGCCGGGTCTTCCCTCGCCAAGCCCCAAGACTAGCCACGCCCTCACTCATCCCATGCAGTCAGAAAAGAGCAACTATTACACCACGCTGTCCAACAGTGTGGTGAATGAGCCTCCCAGACTCTACCCCTCCAAAGACGTCGGTCCGTACTATGACAAAGTGTCGATCGGGGCCCCGGGGGTCGTGGCCGGCGTTGGGGCCGGCGTGCAAAGCCCAGGAGCTCTGTCGATGAGCAGCTACCACACCAGCTCCAAAAACTCCCTCTCCAAGCCCCCGCCTCTCATCAAGCACCAGCCGGAGGGAGGAGAAGGTTTGGCGGGGAAAATCACGGAGCAGCTCAGTCAGCAGGTGACCCTCGTCCAGCCGCAGCATCAGCTCCACGCCGCTGTGGACAGGATAGACCGTCGCAGCCCCGCTATTTCTCCTCCTTCCTCCACGTTGTCCTCTTCATCGTCAGCCTCTAACCAACACCATCACCATCATCACCTGCAGCAGCAGCAACAGCTCAGGGCAATGCCATCTCTCCACCGAGCACCTGTCTTCCATCCACCCACACAGCACGCGCTGGAACGCAAAGAGGCTGCAGAGCGGGAACGAGCCGCGCACGGCGGACGCCTCTCGCCACCAACCCTCACGCCCATTCAGCCGGTAACTGGTAGCAAAACATCAGCAGAGCAGCAGAAGCCCCCGACGCTGCTGCCAGAGCTCAGGGACATCAAAGGTCACGGGACTGCCGCCGCCATCACCTTTGTGGCCTCTGCCACGCCCGGAGAGATGGCGGCTCCAGATGGGTGCAAAGGCAGAGACTTGATCGAGGAACGAGGAGGGGTGTGCTCTGGAGATAAGGGGTTCTCTAAAAATAAGCCCCAGTCGGCAATGGCGTCGGTCATTGTGCGATCGTCTATAAAGTACGACAGTCCCGTTGGTGCTAAGAAATCTGGTGCTCTTATCCACAAAGAGCCCCCCCAGGGGAGGTTCTACACATCCAAGTTTCAGGACGAATGTCCACGACTGGGGGAGGGTTTAACAGAACCTGCAGCAGGGAGGGTCATTCAGCCCAACTTGAACCTGGAGGAGATCCGTTATAAAAAGGCTCCAGGTGTGGGAGGACCTGTGGGAGCCGGTGCTACAAACGCTGTGTGCAGGACTGCCATTTTAGTCTCCTCAGCCTTTGGCTCCCAGAGTAAAACCAGGAGCGCTACTCCTGAGCCAGTTTACTCGGCTCGATGTGACTTCGCAGCACTCAAAACTGGCACTGGGGGTCGGGTGCTGTGCCATATAAGACCAGAGACAGAAAAGGAGCTGCAGGAGGGCTTTGGCTCGCACGCATCTCCGGGGGTCTCTCTGAACCCTGCGAGTGTAGCAGGAGCGCCCCGCCCCAGCCCAAGCCTTACCCCAACACCTAGCTCAATCTCTGGCTCGAGTCAGCCTTACGCCTCTTCGTTTATCCACCTCAAGAAGCACAAAGCTGCTTTAGCTGCGGCGCAGTCCAGAAGCAACCTTCCTACTCCTCCCACGTCAGTCACAGCTGAAAATTCTTCCTTAACTGTGGATCTCACTGAGAAAACCCCAATTTCCAGCTCCCCGCCTCCACCTGCTACCAGTCAGGCCTCCTCGGTCTCGTTCGACAGCAGCAGCAGTAGCTCAGTGAGCAGGAGCACCACACCAGGCAAGTCCAGTCCCCTGCTCAATGGCCAGTCGCTGGGATCAGCCTTACCGAGCTCTGCGCAGCCCAACAACTACCACAAGCTGAAGAAAGCCTGGTTAACTCGGCACTCCGAGGAGGACAGGAACACAGCTACTACTACAAGCTCCAGTATGAAAGTGGAGAAGAGTCCCAGCACCACTACCACGAGCAACACAACAGCCATGTCAGAAATGATCAAGCCCTGCACTGTCAATCTCAGCGCCTCCACCTCCAACGAGGTCGAGATGAGCAAAGACATCGCGAGCAAAGCTGACAGAGACAGACAGCCTGAGGACAAGCTGGCCGGAGCTCCAGGAGGCGGCGAGGAGAGAAAAGTGGGGTCGAGGAGGGTGAACAAACGCACATACGAGTCCGGTTCGGAGAGCGGGGGAGATGATTCTGACACCAGCGAGAGCAAGATGGAGGGCCGAGCCAAGCGTCAGCCCAAACCGACCTACAAGAAGAAGCAGAACGACATGGCCAAGAAGAAAGGAGACAACGACAGAGAGGAGGACGACGTGAAGCCCAATGGCATCTTCAGATCAGCCCGAGAGAAGACTAAGCTCAAGCTGGCCAGCAGCAGTAAGTCCTCGCTCATGTCTCGCTGTTTGTCACTGCTGTTAGGGAGCATGCAGTGTTTTTGTCATAGCAGTGCAACTGGGAGCTGTGGGGGTAACAGAGCTCATTTACCCAATGAATGACCACACGATCAGTGTTAGCCAGAGTCTCTCACGTGTTCTCGGGAAGCTCGAAGGAACAAAACTGTGTAACACAGGGGTGGGCAAGTCCAGGCCTCGAGTGTCCTGCAGGTTTTAGACGTGTCC